GCTGGCAGAGCGCCCGCACCCCGGGAGGAAATCTCGGAGCCGCCCACCGCTCTGTCCCGCGGCCCCGGGCGGCCCTGTGAGCCACGCGGCCACGCAGCCTCTGCCGTCGCTTCCCCGGCCTGGATTCCTACACCTGGCTGGTTTTTTTTTTTTTTTTTTTTTTACATATTTTCCTCAGGGTCAAATTTTTATTCATATATATTTTTAAAGATTCATTTACTTGAAGGGGAGAGTGATCTCTCACCTACTGGTTCACTCCCCAAGTGGCTGCAACAGCTGGAGCCGGACCAGGCCAGAGCCAGCAGCTTCCTCTGGGTCTCCCATGTGGGTGCAGGAGCCCGAGCACTTGGGCGTCTTCTGCTGCCTTCCCAGGCACAGCAGAGATCGGGAGTGGAGCAGCCGGGACTGGAACTGGCGCTCTATTATGGGATGCCGGCATCGCAGGTGACAGCTTAATTCACTGTACAACACTGGCCCCAAGGTCAAATCTTTAAAAACTTTTATTTGTGGGCCAGCGGCATGGCTCACTTGGCTAATCCTCCGCCTGCGGCGCCGGCACCCCGGGTTCTAGTCCCGGTTGAGGTGCTGGGTTCTAGTCCCGGTTGAGGTGCTGGGTTCTAGTCCCGGTTGCTACTCTTCCAGGCCAGCTCTCTGCTGTGGCCCAGGAGGGCAGTGGAGGATGGCCCAGGTGCTTGAGCCCTGCACCCGCAGGGGAGACCAGGAGGAAGCACCTGGCTCCTGGCTTCGGATCAGTGCAGCGCTGGCTGTAGCGGCCATTAGGGGAGTGAACCAACAGAAGGAAGACCTTTCTCTCTGTCTCTCACTGTCCATAACTCTCTGTCTCTGTCTGACTCTGCCTGGCAAAAAAAAAAAAAAGAAAAAGAAAAAACCTTTTGTTTGTATTATTTATTTGAAAGGCAGAGAAACAAAGATTCTTCGATCTGCTGGTTCACTCTTCCAATGCTGTGATGGCGGAGCTGGGCCAGGCGGAAGCCAGGAGGCAGGAGCCAGGAGCCAGGAGGCAGGAGCTTCCTCCAGGTCGCCCACGTGGTGCAGGGGCCACTGCTGCCTCCCAGGGTGCGCATCCGCAGGCAGCGGGAGCCAGGAGGCGGGCTCTGGAGTGGGCGCCAACCGCCTGCCTCATTCCCCGCCCCCGCAGCTGGCTTTCTGGGAGATCTCTTCCCGCCCGGCTTCTTCCGGAGGTGGTCAAACACCCCAGCCAAGGCGGGAACAGGGCACGGGGTCCCTGCTGCCGGAAGTGAGGGGATCGGGCCTGGATGGCGTCTCCAGGAGCAGTGGCACCTGCTGGCATCCACTGAGGACAGGGACGGCTGGTGGGGGGGGCGTGCTGAGTCGTCTGCAGTAGCCCCTCCTTCACCCCCACCCCCCGCTGTGGGCCAATAGACAGCCCCCCCCCCCCGGGCGGGCGGTCATCTCCTGCCACCCTCCGCTGGCTGGCCCTTTCCGCAGCCTCATGGGGAGCCCACGGCAAGCACTGTGCCCTCGGAGGTGAAGCCCCTCACTGGTCCCGGGCCCCCTACCCCGGTCCTGCGGAAGAGCCCCCGGCTGCCTTGCTGGGCACTGGTGCAGAGACTGGAGAGTTGTCCAGGACGTGAGGGTGAGGCCCAGGGGTGGAGGTTTGGGGGTGCCCTGTGCCTGTGCCCCCTGCCCCATGTGCAGGCCTCAGGGCTCAGGCAGGGGGAAGCTCCCATCTGCTCCTGTCCCCTGGCTGGTGCTGGGGAGATGGCCCAGACCCCTCTCTCCACCCCAGGGGCTCCTCCTCCTGCCTGGCTGCTGGGGGTGGGGCTGAAGACAGGCCTGTGCAGGCTGTGGAGCAGGGGGCTGGGCGTGGGGCCCACCCAGGGTGGGCTCAGGTCACTCTTGGTGACCCTGGGTCCAGTTACAAAGGCAGAGGAAGAATGGTGACCGCTGTGGCCTGAGTCTCTGGAAGCCCAAATCTGCAGTTCTTGTTTGGGCAGAGACCACACGGGGAGAGTTTCACAGTCCCCAGCCCTGCCTGCAGGTCCCCTACAGCACCCCACCCCCGCTGTGGCCCCTGGGGGGGTCTGTGGGGCGGGAGGGCAGGGCCGAGGGGACAGATGCTGGTGCCACGTGCACACTGCCTTCCTGGGTTGAGTCACGAGTCATGGAACCAGCTGTGAGACTGAGAAGCAGGCATTGCACATGGAGCTCCCGGGGTCTGCAGCGGGGGTGGGTGGCAGGAGAGGCCACCTTCCGCTCAGAGCCCCTGATGGAGTGTCAAGAGGCCCTGGCGGACGACACAGAGCAGAGTCCTTGCCGCGGTGTTGGCCACGGGACGCAGGGGCCCGTCTGAGCACAGGGCCAGCGGCTGCAGCCGAGGCCTGCACACCCTGGGGGAGGGGGGACGCATCCTGATGGGGTCTGGAAGCCCCCAGAAGGTGGTAGCCTGCTCCAGGCCCTGAAGACCCTGCAGAATTCTCCCCTCACAGCCCCCAACACCGCAGCCGGATCTCGGTGTCTGTCGTGTGTGACAGCTCTGGAGGCACTGAGGGGGACCATGTCAGCCACGTACCCTGGTCGGGCCCACAGAGCCCCAGCCCTGCCGAGTATGGGGTGCCATGGACCTGCCGGAGTCTGCGTGGCCGGCGGTGTCCAGCCGTGTCCAGCCGTGGCCCCTAGGCCCGCGCTGCGCCCTCACACCTGCTGGGTTTTCAATGAGGACCTTGGTGTGTGCCTTGTTCCACCGCAGCCTCTGGGGACCCCTGTCCCGCCCCCCACCCCAGACCCAGGCAAAGCCCCGGGCTGTCCCCACCCCCATGCAGGAGCCACAGCAGGGCTGGGAGGGGGCTTCCTTGGGGTTGGGTGTTGGGCGCCCCCCGGGGGTGGTGCTGAGCTGGGGGTTTGGACACCTAGGGGGAGGGGAGGCTGGGGCGCCCCTTTGCGAGTTTGGGGTGGGGTTGTGCACAGAGGCCCCCGTAGACCCCTGCCCCCAGTGTCTTGTGCAGTCACTGCCAGGCTTAACAGAACCCGCGGACCTCGGGCGGGGCTGGGAGCCTCCTCCCCGGTGAGCACCGGCGACCCTGGTGGGCCCGTGGCCACTTTCTGACTCACGCATTGTGGGAACCCTGCGGGTCTGGAAACTTCCGTGGAGTGCCTCAGGGGTCGGCCGCTGTGGCGCAAGCCCGGGCTCTGTGGAGGTGGCGGGAGGGGAGCCCCTCACACGGAGGAAAACACGTGGCCCCAGAATGTGCCCCAGAGAAGCGGCAGCACGCACGGAGGTTCATCCTCTTTGCACCCCGACTTAGCCGAGCAGCGGCCGTCAGCACCTCGTGAGGTCTGGGGAGGAGGGGAGCCGCGGGTTCTGTGACTGAGGTCCGGGGTGGGGGAGGAGGGGAGCCGCGGGTTCTGTGACTGAGGTCCGGGGAGGAGGGGAGCCGCGGGTTCTGTGACTGAGGTCCGGGGTGGGGGGGGAGGGGAGCCGCGGGTTCTGTGACTGAGGTGGGGGAGGGGGGTGCCGCGGGTTCTGTGACTGAGGTCCGGGGAGGAGGGGAGCCGCGGGTTCTGTGACTGAGGTCCGGGGTGGGGGGGGAGGGGAGCCGCGGGTTCTGTGACTGAGGTGGGGGAGGGGGGAGCCGCGGGTTCTGTGACTGAGGTCCGGGGAGGGGGGAGCCGCGGGTTCTGTGACTGAGGTGGGGGAGGGGGGAGCCGCGGGTTCTGTGACTGAGGTCCGGGGAGGGGGGAGCCGCGGGTTCTGTGACTGAGGTGGGGGGGGGGAGGGGAGCCCTGGGTTCTGTGACTGAGGTGGGGGGGGGAGGGGAGCCGCGGGTTCTGTGACTGAGGTTGGGGGGGGAGGGGAGCCGTGGGGTTCTGTGACTGAGGTCCGGGGAGGGGGGAGCCACAGGTTCGGGTGACTGAGGTGGGGGGGAGGGGAGCCGTGGGTTCTCTGACTGAGGTGGGGGGGGAGGGGAGCCGCGGGTTCGGGTGGCGGGAGCGGCGTTGAGCAGGGGTGAGAAAGCCTGTGTGCTGTGTGAGTGAAGGCTCTGAGATGCCAGCACCCGTCCCCCAGGGCGCAGCTCCGACCGTCTGGGTCCCTGTGCGCCGGGGCAGCCCCCACGCAGGCCTCGGTGGAGCCAGGCCGATGAGGCAGACCTGGGCCTGGGCCTCTGTGCACTGGGCCTGTTCTCCCGGGGGCTACCCCGCAGGAGCACCCTGGGGACAGTCCTCGGGGACATGAGGCAGAGCCCACAGCCACGCTTGCCTGGGTCTGTCCAGTCTGCCACCTGCTCAGGTGCCTCAGTTTCCCCTTCTGCAAATGGGCTCACAGGAGCACTGGCTAGGGAGGGCTGGAGCTGGCCGTGCAGCGCTGAGAAGCCCCGGCAGGTGGACAGATGCCAGGTGTTGGCGTGGACAGTGCGGGTGAGGCTGCCTCCTGGGGGTGGCGGGCCGGGGGTGCTGACCCTGGGGCTCAGGGTCAGAGATGGCGAGCAGGTGCGTGACTGACAGGGGTGAGCAGACCCTCTGAGGCCAGTGTTGGGGCGGGACCTGGAGGGCGTGGCCTGGCGGGGGACGCGGGGCCTCGGCTGCTATTCAGGGGGGGAGCTGCGTGGAGCCTGCATGACTCGGGGCCCTTGGGACAGTGTCCTGTCTGAGAAAGCCCCGCCCACAAAGCCCCCTCCCTCTGGTGGGACGTCCCTCTGCATGTCACTTCAGCTGTGGTGGGGCGGGACTTGAGAGCTGCCCCTCCCCGGCCCGTGCACCCTGAGCAGAGGGAGCGGGGCAGGGCCCCCGGCAGGCGAGCCACCCCATCAGGACAGCTGCCTTCTGATGCCTGAGCCCCGGCGTCGGCCGACCACTTTCTCGTGGTTTGGGAGCTCTCTGGGATTCCCGTTTCCAACTGGGTCCAGGAAGAGCGCCTCCGATCTGGCACAAAGCTCGAGCCCGAGCCCTGGAGGTGGGCAGTGTGTGTGTCACGCACGCCCTGGCATTGTCACGTGCGAGGCCGTCCAGTGGGGCCCACAGACCCCAGCCCCACTGGGCGGCCTCAACGTGTATGCTGCACTCAGTGCATGCTCACTCACATATGTTCACATTCACACGTGTACACAGTGCACGCTCATGTGCACCCCCACTCAAATGCATGCACACTCACACAGCATGTACGTGCACAGGCACACTCGCACTCACGCGCACACTCATGTGTACACACAGTGCGCGCTCACACAGCACACACTTACACAGGCACACTCGTGCACACTCATGTGTACACACAGTGCACGCTCATGTACTCATGCACACTCACAAAGCACACACACAGGCACACTCGTGCACACTCGAGTACACACAGTGCACGCTCATGTACACACCCACTCATGCACACCCACAGAGCACACACTTACAAGGCACATTCGCACTCACACGCACACACTCACGTGTACACACAGTACACACTTACACAGGCACACTCGTGCACATTCATGTGTACACACAGTGCACGCTCATGTACTCACGCACACACAGCACACACACAGGTACACTCGTGCACACTCACGTGTACACACAGTGTGCGCTCACACAGCACACACTTACACAGGCACACTCATGTGTACACACAGTGCACGCTCATGTACACACCCACTCATGCACACTCACACAGCACACACTTACAAGGCACATTTACACTCACATGTGCACACGTAGTGCATGTGCATGCATAGAGTGCACGCTTACACGTGTGTACTCCCACGAGTATGCACTCCCACACTCGCACACATGCACTCTTTCTTGCACTCTCCCAGTGCAGGGCAGGGCTGGGTGCCCGCCTGGCTGGTTCTGGTGCAGGGGACGCTATGTGTCCCCTTGTCCTCCCTGCCTCCCCGTGGGCTGTGGGCTGCTGGCCCAGGCAGTCACCCCTGTGGGGTGGGATCTTGGGGTTTGCACCTGGCCACGCATCGCATTCCTGGTTCCCTGGGACGCTGGGGCGTGGCTCTGGGTGGGGCGAGGACACAGCGCTGAGCCCCCTGCGTGGGGGCACAGGCCCTAGTTCTCCCAGAGGGAGTGATTTGCTTGCTAAGTGGCCTTGGCGGGTTTGTCTGCTGTGGGAGGACGCGCAGGCACCCGCTGGGTGTGGCTGCCCGGGGATGAGCAGGATGTGACGGCTGCTCTGTGGGGTGTGTGCAGCTGCTGGCCTGGCCTCCGACTGTAGTTTATAGAAATGTCTGCTCTCTGACTGATGGGGGCAGGGCCACGTCCCTGCCCGCTGCCCGAGGCCCCACGTGAGAAGCGCGTGGCCATCGTTCAGGTCCGTGGGGCCTGTGGCGGGAAGACAGGATGAGTGTGGGTGTCGGCACCGTGGAGAGGAAAAAGGAGCCAACAGGCACAGCAGGACGGGGGCGACGGCCCAGCCCTGCCCACAGGAGGCTGGTGACGGAGTGGGGCAGCCGTGGACACGCAGTGGCTGTCGTGACAAGTGACCACACACTTAGTGGCTTGAACAGCACTCCTCTGGGGCAGGCATCGTAGCCCAGTGGGTTGCGCTGCTGCTGGGGCATGCGTGTCCCGTGTGGGAGTGCCGGTTGAGTCCTGGCTCCTCGGCCTGTAGTCCGGCTTCTTGCCGATGCACCCTGGGAGGCAGCAGGTGATGGATCATGCGCTTGGGTCCCTGCGCCCCCACGGGCGACCCGGATGGAGTTCTAAGCTCCAGCCCCAGCTGTCGTGGGCACTGGGGAGTGAGCCAGCAGATGAGTGAAATCTCTGTTTCCAAGTAGATAAATAAACACGCATTCTAAACGGCACCAAACAGCACACATTTGTTCTCCAGCTCTGCCGCGTGGAGTCGGCAAGGCCTCCCTGGCTAAGCTCGAGGTGCAGGCGGCGCTCCCCCTGCAGGCCCCGGGGGGAGTTCCGCGTCCTGCCTGCCCGAGTTCAGAACCCAGGAGCGCGTCGGCCACTGCCCGCCCAGGCCGCGGAGCCTGCTGCAGGGCAGCTGCCGGGCAGCCTGTAGATCCGCCTGCTGCCCCCAGCCCTCCGCGGTGACCGCCTGATCTCGGGTTGATCGTGGGTGGGACGTGGACCCCTTTTCCCGCAGCCGCACAGGGAGTGATAACACGGGCCATTTCCTACCCTGGATGTGCCAAGGGCCCTGGACCTTTCAGTTCTAGGGTCCGTGTCTCAGCACCCACCGTGGCATCCGTGGTGGCCTGGGGGAGGGGCAGGGCAGTCTCTCAGGAGCCCCGGGAGGGTGCAGCAGCCAGGCTGGGGTGGATCCGGCAGAGCTGGGTGCTCCCGGCGGATGGAGTCTCAGGCGGCTGTGGCTGGGGGTCCCGTGTCACCCCGGGTTGGCCTCCATGGGGCCCTTAGTGGCAGGTGGCTCTGGGTGCCAGGGGAGAAAGACTTGCTGGCCTTGGTTACGCCCCTTCCCAGTGAAGGACATGGCGAAGGGGTCTGTGGCTCCCCCTGGCGGTGGCCCAGGTCTGACAGGTCTGTCTGATTGGCTCTGGCCGCCGGGGAGCTGATCTGGACGGGACGTGTGAAGGAAGCAGGGCCCCGGGCTGCCAGGGAGCCGTGTCCTCCTGCCTGGCGTTTGGGTGGAACTCGGAACACCGAAGCGGCCGCCCCCGCGGGCTCAGCACCGTCCTGTTAAGTGCATTAGCGTCTGGCTCTGGACTGAAGGGCTCGTCTGAACGACTTCCTGAGGCCCTGGGCGGAGCTGCGGCCCTGTGCCGGTGGCCAGAGCCAGGGGCTGGTGGGGCGCGGCTGGACCCCCGGGCTGTGCTGGCGACACCGGGCGGGCGGCACGTGGCCTGGCACTACCACTGGGCGCACGACTGTCCTGGCCCCAGCTCACCCTCCCGGTCCCTGACCCTGGCTCCTGGCCGCTTGGCGGGGCGGGTGGTGGCCCAGGCGCAGGGCCTGGGAGCCTGAAGCTGCTTTATTAGATGACAGCTGCAGACAGACGTCCTCAGCTTGTGAGAGCTCAGACCGTGAATAAACAGAAAACCCTCCGAGGAAACCGGCCAGGCCCGCAGCCGGTGCACCCGGGAAGCCGGGAGCCGGCTCGAGGCAGGTGGGGGCGTGGGAGCGGGCCTGTGGGGTTTACGGCTGGAAACGAGAGTGGGTGTTGTACGCCCCCGTCTTCCAGGCGGCAGGGGCGGTGTGAGTCCCTATGCTTCCTCCTCCTCTCTCCAAACAAGACAGCCGACAGAGGGGTGGTCCCCACCCCGGGGTCCCCGATGCCGCCCCGTTTCCAGGGCCAGCAGCAGACACTGAGTCTGCGGTGCAGAGCTCTGGCCCAGCGCGGCTAGGGGCCCAGGCAAGGGGCGGGGCACCTGCTCCCCATGGAGGGTCGCGGGGGCATGACCCGAAGCCCCGCCCCCTCCTTGGCCAGGGCTCTGTGTGAATCAGCAGTGACCAGAGGCCCCTGACCCCTTCCAGCCAGGACACTCTGGTCCCGGGAGCGCTGCCCCCCGGCCCTGCCCTGGCCCCTCCCTTGTGCCCGTCTGGGGAGCGGTGACCCCCACCACTCAGGGGCAGCCCCTCCCGTCGCCTCCCCTCCCACCGTGAGAACCTGGCGGTCTGAGCTGGCCCTCGAGCCTTCCATTAAAAATCCAGTTAATAAGCAACCCTTAAACCTTGAAAAACCCACTGGGCCGTTACTGCCCAGCTCGTCGCCGTCGGGTCCCGGGGCTGGGGTGTCTGTGGGCCCCGGCGCGTCGTCCCCACTGTGAGCCCTGGTGAAGGTGCTGCCCGGTGTGTTTCCTGGCTCTGTAGCTCTCACTTGAAAGAGGCGCCGGCTGTGTGCCTGGCCACGCCGCCGTATTCCTGGAGGGGCAGCTGAGCCACCGGCGGCAGTGAGTCATCGCGCACAGCCGTAGCCGCGTGGGCCGTCCCCCTGCTGCCCATGCCCCGCCCTGCTGGCCTCCAGCGGTGGCCGCGTCAGCACACGGGAATGTGCCAGTCCCCTCTGCATTCTTCGCCACGGCCTGCTGGGTCCTGGCCCGGCTGCTGCCTGCCTGGTCTCCCCTCGGTGTCCACTCTGTGGGCGCCAGAGCCCTGTCCCTGTCCTGCCTCCCCTGATGCAGCTCCGGCTCCCCGCAGGAGCTCGGCATGCATCCGCTGACTGAACGTGCGTCGTCTTGCCCGTGAGGTGTGCGTGTTGGGAGCCGGCCGTGCGGTGGGCACTCACTGCCTGTGGGATGTGACTCAGAGCCTCGTGGGAGGGAGCGCTCAGTGTCAGCCGCGGGCACGGGACACACACCGGATGCACAAGGGGCACACACGGGGCACACATGAGGCACACACAGACATACATGGGACACCCATGGCACACGGGATGCACATGAGGCACACAGGGCTATACACAGGGTGCATGTGTGGGGCACACACAGGACACACATGGGGCACACATGGGACACACAAAGCACATGGACATACATGGGACGCACACAAGGTACACACGGGACACACACACAGATGCACATGGGGCACACGAGTGTACACAGGGTGCATGTGGGGCACACACAGGACACACATGGGGCACACATGGGACACATGGGGCACACACAGGGCACACGGACATACATGGGACGCACACAAAGTGCACACAGGGCACACACACGGATGCACATGGGGCACACGGACACACACGGAGTACACAAGAGGTGCACACAGGATGCACATGAGACACACACGGATGTACAGAGGGTGCATGAGGGGCACACACAGGGCACATGGACACACATGGGATGCACACAAGGTACATACAGGGAACACACATGGATGCACATGGGGCACACAGACACGGGGTACACACGAGATGCACATGAGACACACACGGATGTACACAGGGTACATGAGGGGCACACACAGGGCACACATGGGACACACGAGGCACACACAGGGCACATGGACATACATGGGATGTACATAAGGTACACACGGGGAACACACAGATACACCTGGGGCACACAGACATGGGGTACACACGAGATGCACATGAGACACACACGGATGTACACAGGGTGCATGAGGGGCACACACAGGGCACCCATGGGACACACGGGGCACACACAGGGCACACGGACATACATGGGAAGCACACAAGGTACACACGGGGCACACGCATGGATGCACAGGGACACATGGACACACAGGATGCACATGGATGCACACGAGATGCACACAGGGCATACATGAGATGCACATGGGACACACGGGGCTCACACGGGAAGCACATGTACACGCATGGGGCTCACACAGACACACACACGAGCATCTCTGAGGAGGGGCCAGGATGAGAGGCTCTCGGTGTGCACACCCGAGATCTGGGAGTGACCCTGTGACGTGGTCAGCCATTAGCAAATGTGTGTCTTGGAAAGCGCTGGTGACCGCCTTGAAAGGCGGCAGAGGTGACCCCGTGTTCCTGCTTGGTGTGGAAGACCACAGACCCTCAGCCCCCGCCTCTCACAGCCCAGGGCTGTCAGTTCCCGACTCCGGCTCCGGCTCCGGCTCCGGCTTCCTACTCACGCACACCCAGGAAGGCAGCGGCGACACCACCCCGAGAGACCTGGCTTGGTTTCCCGGCTCTCGGCTTCGGCGCTGGCCCCGCTCTGGCCGTGGTGGGCATTTGGAGAGTGGCCCAGTGAAGTGTTTTCTCTCCCTCTTAACTAAAGTGAGTTTAAAAAGTGAATGGCATTCATCAAAGAAACACATGAAAAACCTCACTGAAAGTCCTGCAGACGAAGCTTTCGGGACGGTGTGGTTCAGGAAACTGGAGTCTTCCTCGCAGCTCCACAGAGTCCACGGGCCACGGAACTCCATGGAAAGTGGGTGATCCCGTGGCTTTGCGTGTGCAGGCGTGTGCCAGCGTCCACACAGCCGGCACCGAGCATTTCGTCCCCTGCGAGGAGCCCTCCGTCCTGCCCTGCCCATGCCCGACCCCTCTCTTACCTCCTTGTTCCCTGGGCATCCCACGAGGGCCAGGGCTAGGCCGGGGGTGGAGCTGGGGGCTCAACCTGGGTCTCTCGTGTGGGTGGCGTGGACCGCTGAGCTGTCCCGCTGCCTGCTGGGGTCTGCACTGGCAGGCAGCTGTGTTGGGACTGGAACCCAGGGGCTCTATGTGGGACGGGGTGCCCCAAGCTGCAGCTTCCTGGCCAGGCCCATGCCCACCCTGCCAGTGGACTTGGCTCTCTGTGGGTTTCCATGTTCTGGGCGCTTGTGTGAGACACGCAGCGTGGGGCCCTTTGCGTGTGGCTTCTCCTTGTCACATGATGTCCTCAGGGTTCATCCGTGTTGTGGCGTGTCGGCTCCATCCCCTTTCGCGGCTGAGTGCTGTAGTGCTGTGTCCCCCGGGCACCAGCGGATGGACGTTTGGGTCGCGTCCACCTTCTGGCTCTGGCACGTAATGCAGTTACTGGGGCCGGGGACACGGGAGTTTCTGGAGCACGCGTGCACCTGCCCTCCATCGTGAGGAGCGCCCGGCCCCACCAGGCCCCGCCCGGTCTGTTCTTGTCCGACCTCGGCACCGAGCTGCTGAGTGGGTGAGCGGTGGCATCCGGTGGTTTGGCTTGCGTCTCGGCGATGACGGATGGACCAGGCGTCTTTTCATCGCTCGCTGGCAGCGTGCGGGTCTCGCTCGGAGGAACTCTGTTCCGAGTCTCTGCGTCTCTGCATTGCCGTGGTGCTGGCGCGAGTCTCCCCAGGCGTGGCTGCAGGTTCTGTCTGCGCGTGCGGGTGGGTGGGTGGGCGGGCGGCTGTTTCCTCCTGGCCCCGGGGCTGCCGCTTCACCTTCTCCAGGCTTCTTTTGAGACACAGAGCTTTAAACTTTCGTGGAGTTCAGTTTATTTTTCCTTTTGTCGTCCGAACTTGTGGTCGTGTAGCTAAGAATCCTTTGCAAACCCAAGGTCAGGAGATTTGTTCCGTGTTGTCTTCCAATGTTGTACGTGCTGGGCTCTTTCCTGTAGGCCCTGGGTCCATCTTCAGCTAATGTCTTTTACGGTGCGAGGCAGGGCTCCGGCTTCACCTGCACGTGGCTGTGTGGTTGTCCCGGCACCGCGGGCTGGCCGTGCGCACTGTCTGTGCCGGGGTCGCACCGTGTCGATGCCCACAGTGAGTTCTGAGACGGGGAAGCGCGAGTCTCATCTCTGTTCTCCATACTGTAGCCGGAGGACACCTGAGCAGAGCCCAGGAAACCCACAGCCTGCTCAAACCGGCTCAAACTGGCTCAACGAGAAGTAGGGCAGGAGGGGGCTTCAAAAAGCTCAAGAAAATGGAATTAAAGGATAAAAGTTAAAAATAGAAATTGTATTTCTCAGCATGGGCGCCGTCACGTTCCAGACATGTCTCTAAGTGATGGGTTCCCCGGGAACTGGGGCTCCCTGTGGCGTCTCCTCCGTTTGCTGAAGAAAAGGGGGCTCCCTAAGTCAGGGAGCCGGGCTGGGACGCGCGCCAGGCTGCCCGGTCGGCCGAGGGCGTGGGCAGGGCAGGAGGGTGGAGAGGAGCTGTGCGGAGCCTCCTGGCAGCCTTCCCGGCCCTCCAGGAAGCCCAGGGCAGAAGGTGCTGCCGGCCCCCTGCGCCACACCTGTGCCGGGGCCGGGCTTGTCTTCAGGCTGCGCCAGGAAGCCTTGCTTCATCCCCCATCACCGCGCTTCCGGGGGATCCCCCTTGTCACGTCCTGCGTCACATTAGTAGGTAAAAAGACGAAACGCACTCACTCACCTCAATACAGTCGTCCAGTGGAAGCAGAAGAGGCATTTAACAAGGCTCACACACACACAAATAAATAAATAAGGAGAAACAAGCCAGGCAGAGACCACCCCAAGTGTCAGCCGCCGTCCCAGCCGGTGGTGGAGCCGGCCCGGGGCCACAGCAGCCGCGACTCCTGTCTGGGAGCCTGGGGGACCCCGCTGTCCTCCCTGCGGCCTCCAGAGCACGCAGGGACAGTTCCTACACCATGTTCATGTGCACTCCCATCCATGCACACACACACACGTCTGTGCGCACACATCCCGCGTGTCCCTGCATGTACACCTGGATACACAGGTACCCCCGCACACGCATGTCCATGTGCACGCAGACATGTACAAGAACATCTGGGTACATGCATGCCGTGCACACATGCCTACGTATGCACATAGCCACAGATGGCACATGTGTGCACACGCACACATGCCCACACGTGTGCACCCTTTCTGGGGCCGCCCCGGTGGCTCTGTGTGCACTCTTCAGAACGGCTGGTTCCACTCTCTGACGGACAGGCCACGTTGATGAGCGTGCCCACAGGTGGGGGGTCATGCAGCCGACCCACTGTCTGAGCCTCGAGGCGCCACAGAAGCACGGAACCTCAGGTCCTTGTTTCAGAAGAGGGAAAGGAGGCCCCGGGACCTGGGGGGCAGGCAGTGCAAGCCGGGGGCTGGCAGGCTTGGGCACACCAGCCTCCCTTCCTCCAGCTCAGGGACCCCAGCAGGGCCCGGGGCTGCTGCTCCAGAGCTGGCCACTCGGCTCGGCCGGGCCGCACCCCGGGAGGGCAGGAGAGGGGGTCCCAGTCTCGAGGGGCTCTGGGGTGTGCAGCTACCCACAGGGAGGGGTCGGGCAGTGGCGGCCGTGGCTCCCCGTCCCCTTGGGTGGGGCAGGCCCAGGGACAGCTGCTGTGGACAGGGCCAGGGTGGCCTTGGGTTGAACAAGTGAGAGGCCGCTCCCCGACACTCACGGTCCAGGCTGGGCCCTGGGGCGGCCCCTCTGCTGTGTATGGAGCCGGTTTCTTCCGTTCACACGTGGGTGTTTCGTGCCTGTTTTTCAAATGAAAATAAAAGAGCCCATTATTCAGGAATCCGTTCGAGGCGCACTGACAAGACAGAACAGCCCCGCTCAGGGCAGGGCGGGGCTTCTGCAGAGAGGCGGGTGCTGGGTGGGGGTGGGGGTGCGGGCCCCCGACGCCAGGAGGAGGGGAGCCCCAGGCAGGGTGGGGCCGGGCTGAGTCCTGAGATTCAGAATTGAGTCTGGGGTCTGGAGCGCGTCGTAAGAGTCTGCCAGGTGGAAACCGGAGCAGAAATTGCGGCTTTTGGTGGCTGGGTCCCGGCGCCCCGGGCTGGGCTGGCTGTGGCGTGGGCGTGGCTGCTCCTGGCTCCTGCAGAGCTCCTGGCGGGCGCGCCTGTGTGCGGTTGCCCCTGGGGTGGGGGTGTGGGTGTGGGGCAGTTTCCACGGGGCAGGGGGCAGGGCCCTCTGAGGCCGTGGTGGGCTGTGCGGCGGACCCAGGAGGACGCTGGGCAGAGCAAGTTGGCGTCAGGATGGCCTCAGTGTTGGACACCGCTCCTACCGCAGCTGTGGCTTCCCTGGGCTTTCAGCCTCGGGGCCCTGTCCCCAGTGCACCCCACGGGCAGGGGGCTGAGGGGACCCTGCCCCCAGTGCACCCCACGGGCAGGGGGCTGAGGGGACCCTGCCCCCAGTGCACCCCACGGGCAGGGGGCTGAGGGGACCCTGCCCCCAGTGCACCCCACGGGCAGGGGGCTGAGGGGACCCTGCCCCCAGTGCACCCCACGGGCAGGGGGCTGCCGAGGGCCCCCTCTCCTCCAGTGCACCCCATGGGCAGGGGGCTGAGGGCCCCCTCTCCCCCAGTGCATCCCATGGGTAGGGGGCTGCTCAGGGGGGCCTGTCCCCCCAGTGCACCCCACGGGCAGGGGGCTGAGGGCCCCCTCTCCCCCAGTGTACCCCATGGGCAGGGGGCTGAGGGGGGCCTGCCCCCCAGTGCACCCCACATGGAGGGAGCTGAGGGGACCCTGTCCCCCCAGTGCACCCCATGGGCAGGGGGCTGAGGGGACCCTGCCCCCAGTGCACCCCATGGGCAGAGGGCTGCCGAGGGCCCCCTCTCCTCCAGTGCACCCCATGGGCAGGGGGCTGCTGAGGGGGGCCTGTCCCCCCAGTGCACCCCACATGGAGGGAGCTGAGGGTTCCCTGTCCCCCCAGTGCACCCCACATGGAGGGAGCTGAGGGTTCCCTGTCCCCCCAGTGCATCCCACATGCAGGAGTCTGAGGGGGCCCTGTCCCCCCAGTGCACCCCACATGCAGGAGTCTGAGGGGGCCCTGTCCCCCCAGTGCACCCCACATGGAGGGAGCTGAGGGGACCCTGTCCCCCCAGTGCACCCCATGGGCAGGGGGCTGCCGAGGGCCCCCTCTCCTCCAGTGCACCCCATGGGCAGGGGGCTGCTGAGGGGGCCCTGTCCCCCGAGTGCACCCCACGGGCAGGGGGCTGAGGGGACCCTGTCCCCCGAGTGTACCCCACATGGAGGGAGCTGAGGGTTCCCTGTCCCCCGAGTGCACCCCACGGGCAGGGGGCTGAGGGGACCCTGTCCCCCGAGTGTACCCCACATGGAGGGAGCTGAGGGTTCCCTGTCCCCCCAGTGCACCCCACATGCAGGAGTCTGAGGGGGCCCTGTCCCCCCAGTGCACCCCACATGCAGGAGTCTGAGGGGGCCCTGTCCCCCCAGTGCACCCCACATGCAGGAGTCTGAGGGGGCCCTGTCCCCCCAGTGCACCCCACATGCAGGAGTCTGAGGGGGCCCTGTCCCCCCAGTGCACCCCACAGGCAGGGAGCTGAGGGGGCCCTGTCCCCCGAGTGTACCCCACATGGAGGGAGCTGAGGGGGCCCTGTCCCCCGAGTGTACCCCACATGGAGGGAGCTGAGGGGGCCCTGTCCCCCCAGTGCACCCCACAGGCAGGGAGCTGAGGGGGCCCTATCCCCCGAGTGTACCCCACATGGAGGGAGTTGAGGGCCCCCTGCCCCCCCAGTGCACCCCATGTGCGGGGGCTGCCGTGGTCAGTGGCTTCCTCATACTTGGCTCTGCCCAGGAACCGTGAGCTGATTGCATGGGGACAAAGCTGGCCCTGCTGAGTGGCCCCAAAGGTGACTGAGTGTGAGACTGGGGAGGGTCTGGGGACCCCCATCCTGAAGGGGCTCAGGGTCCCCACAGAGGGAGCCCAGCGTTCCCTCTCAGGATCCAGGCGGTTGGTCGTGGGGTCTCTAGAATTTGTTCTTAGGTTTTCCAAAGCTTATTTCTGGGCATAAAATCACGTTAGTGCCAGTGAATTCCAGGCGTTGCTAAGGGCACCATGGGGTCACTTCTGGGAATGCGGACGTTTGTGTGTGGGGCCCCGAGTGAGACGCGTGTTCCCATCCGGGTGAGGCAGCCTGGCTGCCCTGGGGAGGGTGAGCTGTGGCCCTGCAGCCACGCGGCCTGGAGAAGACGCCAAGGAGGGCCTCGGGCAGGTGGAGCACGCTGGACTCTGGTGTAGAATGTGGTGGTGGGATGTGTGAGCACGTCTGTGAGCACGTGTGACATGTGCGTGTGGCTGCATGTCTACGTGCAAGTGCACAGGGGGCCAGTGCATGAGCAAATGTGAGGAATTCATTGTGAGTGTGCAAGGGGCAAGTGTGTCATGTGTGCAAGTGTGAGGGGAGCATTGTATGAGGGGCACATGTGTGTTGCTGGGGCACATGTGTGTGAATCTCAGGTGTGTACAAATGTGTGAGGAGCACACGTGTGCAAGTGTGAGGGAGCATGTGTGTGAGGGACACATGTGTGTGAGGGAACACGTGTGTGTGAGGGTGCTGGGGCATGTGTGTGAAGGTGTGAGGGGCACAAGTATGTGAGTCATGTGTGTGTACAAGTGTGAGGAACACATGTATGGGGGCACATGTGAGTATGCTGGGGCACATGTGTGTACAAATGTGTGAGGCACATGTGTGCAATGTGAGGGAGCACATGTGTGAGGGGACTAGGGGTGCATGTGTAGAGGGGCGCGTGTGTATGAGGCACAGGTGGGAGGGAGTGCACGAGGGAGTGCTGTGCACGCGCTGCCTGGATTCGTCCACCTCTCTGGGCCCCGGCGTCTCTGTGCCTCGGTTTCCCCGGGCTGCACACAGGCTCTGCAGGTGTCCGGCCCCAGTGCCTGGCCTGCCGTGGGACCCTGGGGACCCGGCAGTGGCTGTTTTATCACCCAGCCCCGTGGAGCCCTGGGGGACCGCGCAGCAGGTCCCTTTGTCGAGGGGCAAACAGGCAGAGGGAGGACTCCGCAGTGCAGCTCCGACAGCTGCCACTCAGCAGCCAGGCTGCAGTGTGCGGCCCCGGGGGCGGTGATGGGGGGGTGTGTGTCCTGGTTGAGGAGGTGCTGTGGGAGTGGCTCTCGAATATGACCTTGGGGCAGCGGGTGGGCACTCAGGAAGAGGGGGCCCTGGTGCAGTGTCGGCCTCGCTGGTTGCATCTGACCTGGAGTGTTTCCCTGCTGGTGCGGTGCCTGGCAGTGTCCCTGTCCACACAGGCTGCACTAGGCATCTCTGCCTGGTGGCCCTGGACTGTGTGCATCCCGTGGTCTGACTCCACTCCCGTTCCCCGCTGGGTGCGAGGGTCAAGGCTCAGCTGAACAGCCAGCAGTGGCCAGACGCGTACTGTGCTGCGCCGGGCTGGGGGCTGGACCAGCGGATGCTGGGCCCTGAGGACCCGAGCACGGAGGGTGGGCGCCGGTGGGCCGCCCAGGCCCCGTCCATGTGGAGGGTTGAGCGTGAGCCTGGCTCCCTGGGCCCGGTGAGCTCGGTACACAGACTCCATGTGGCAGGCCACGGCCTCTGAGGCCCCACAGATGACGCGGAAGGACCTAGAAGCCCATCAGCGCTTTAGGGAGGAAGAAGCCACCTGCAGCTCTGTGTCGGGAAGCAGCTGGAGCGGCCGCAGTGCCACCTCGCTGAGCCCGGTCCCAGGGTCCCAGGCCGCCCGAGGCACTCCCCTGAGCGCAGGGCAGCACCTTGCACTCTGCTCGCTGGCGGTAGGACTGTGCCGTCCACTGTGCCATCCCAGGAGTGGCCCAGCACCTGCCGGCAGCAGAGAGCGGGTCCGCAGGGGAGCTTCTGGCCCTGGAGAGGCACACGGGTGTCCTGTGAGACACACGGGTGTCCTGTGAGTTTAAGAATAAAAATGGGGGTTGTGCGGCTCTGTCCCCCCAGCAGAGGATAGCAGGAGCCTGGGTATCTGGGGACAGGGGGTGCCGGGGCGGGCAGGGGTCTGAGCAGGTGGGGCGGCCATGCTCTTGGCGCCTGCCCCTCCCCGCCGGGGGTTCTCAGGCAACAGTTGCAGCCGGGAGTTGGAGCTGCAGCAAGCTGAGCGTTTTCTAAGTTCCAGTTTTACCACAGAACCGTGGCGCAGGCCCAGGCTGTAGGGGAGTCCTTGGTGGAAGGGAGAGTGGGGGCTGGGGGCAGCTGCCTCAGTGTCCCTGGGAGCTGGGGGTCCTGGCATGGAGCCCCTCACTCGCCGCACCCCACACACAGACCCAGCAGTTCCCAGTCCAACAAGCTGCCCCCGCTGTGCCTGTCCCTGTCCAGGAGCCCTGGCTGCTCTGCACATGTGGGCAGGAAAGGGTTAAAAGGCCTTGGGACACATCTGCAGGCACAGGTCCCCTGACTCCAGGTCTGCCCCTTTCTCTGGCTGCAGGAGGGAGAGGCCCCAGGCTAGGAATCAGGAATGGGGTGGGCGGGAAGCAGGAGGGGCGGAGCCCAGAGGCCCCGCCTCCGGAACGGAGTGGCCGCCCTGTGGGGCCCTGCCCGGCACAGCCCTGATGGCTCCCGACCCCAGCGGCCGCCTGGGCCTGCTGCTGCTGCTTACCTGCTGCCTCGCAGCCGCCAGGGCTGACCTCCTGAGCCTGGACTGGCTGTGGTCCTCCAAGGCCGCCAACCCCCCTGATGTCCAGGTCTCCGAGCACCAGGGCAGCCCAACTGTGCAGCCCACGGCGGACCCCACCACGCACGTGGCCCTGGGGCATGGCCCCACAGAACAAGGGCGCGTGGAGGAGCCGGATCCTCCCGCTGAACCCACCAGCCCTGCCGCCCCCGCCCCCTCCGCAGCCAGCCCAGACACGAAGGAGGAGAACGTCGCGGGTGTCGGAGCCAAGATCCTGAACGTGGCTCAGGGCATCCGGAGCTTTGTCCAGCTGTGGGATGACACCACCCCCACCGAGGGCTCTGCCGTGGTGACCTCGCCGGCCTCGGCGGCCGTCGCAGACCCCCTCACCCTCCCTGGGTCCTCCAGCGCCTCCCATGAGGACAGGACTGCTCTCCGGCCCAGCACCGAAGCTCCGAGCCCCCCGGCTGCTCCGACGACCGAGGCTGGCACTGTGCTGGCACCCACTCAACCGCCTGCCTCCCAGGCACTGCGTCGGGTGTCCCCAGGTAGAGCTTCTGTGTCCTCCCCACCAGGGAGGAGCCCGCGGCCCCTGTGGCAGTCCCCAGATCTGGACGGCAGAGGACCCTGGCCCATGGCGGCCACCCCCCACCGGCAGCACCGACTCCCTCCCGGCCACAACCTGGTGCCACTCCTGCTTCCGCTGGTGACGGGCGCCCTGGGTGCTCACGCGGCCCCCTCTGCACTCACCTCTGACCCCCTGGCCCCACGCTCGCACGTCCCGGCTGCAGCTTTCCTCGGTGACGGTGGTGCTTGGGTTTTCCGCGTGGTTCATCCTGCGGGGCAGGATTCCTCCAGTCCTGCTAACGACTCCGCGCTGCTCGGGGCCAGCCCCCGGGGCCCTCCCGCGCGCTGCCTGCCTCTGCCGGCATCCCTGCCCGTGTGCAGCCGCCTGGGCATCGGGCACGCCTGGCTGCCCAACCACCTGCGGCACGAGCACGGCGAGGAGGTGCAGGCCGCGGCGCAGGTGTGGGGGCGCCTCCTGCAGACACGCTGCCACCCCTTCCTCGCCTGGTTCTTCTGCCTGCTGCTGGCCCCGCCATGCGGCCTGGGCCGTCCGCCTGGGCCCCCACCATGCCGCCAGTTCTGTGAGGCCCTGGAGGACGCATGCTGGAGCTGCCTGGACGGGGGCCAGCTGCCCGTCGCCTGTGCCTCGCTGCCCGCCCAGGAGGACGGGTACTGTGTGTTCATTGGGCCGGCTGCAGGTAACTGGCTGGCCGCTGCCCTCCCCACCCTTCCTTTTTGCCTTGCCAGGTAAGCTGGACAGGGCCGACTCGAGCCTGGGACAGGGCCTGCCTGCCCCGTGCTGAGCCAGGTGACAGCGGCGGGGGAGGAGGCTGGGGACGTGGGAGGTGGGGGGCCGGATGTAACCGCAGATTCTCTGATGCCAGCGGCTGAGGCGGGGGTGTTGCCTGTACCAGGTGCCCCCAGAGCGGCCGACTGCATTTCGCCCTCCCCATGGCTCTGAGTTTGTCACAGCCTCCATGGAGGGCAGACAGGCATGGCGTAGTGTCAGAACCCGCCCGAGGGAGCTGGGACCCCCACCCACTCGCTGTCCCGTCTTCCTGGAGGGCCCGGCGTGTGGGGAGGGGCTGCTTGCTGTGGGGCGGCCACGCTGGATGCTGAGCCTGCCGGGGCCCTGGCCTGCTGCCTGCGCGCCCTGATCTGTGGGCTCCAGAACCTCCCCACTCGGGGCAGTGGGAGCACCCCCGGCGGTGCCCCCATCCCTGTGGGACCTGTCACTGTCACTGTCGCTGGCCGGGCAGGGGCTCTGGGGCAGCTGGAAGAGGCCCCAGCTCCTCTGTGTGCACAAAGGCCTGGCCCTTGAGTGGCACCTGCTCTCCTGGTGACCCCGACCAGCCCTGCCAGGTGTGGGTGTTCTGCCCTCTCTGCCCGGGGAGCGGCCTTGACCCTTGGGCCTTGGGATTTGGGGCTAGGCTGATGGGGGTGGGGTGTAGGTGCTGCGTGACCGGATGTCGCGGTGCTGGCCGCATGGGGCATGAGCTTGGGTGGTGCCCAGTGGGTCTCGGGGCCAGCTGTCCTCTTGTCCAGGAAGAGCCTGGCACCTCCACAGACCTCGGCTGGGCCTGGGTGCAGCTCGGAGGGGGGACAGCTGGGGTCAGGAAAGGGACAGTGCCACTGACAGGTGGTGCCTACCCTCAAGAAGGAAGCACCAGGGCTGGAATGGAGGGGACAGAGGGACAGGGACGGCTCGGACTGGGCACCCGGAGTGGTATGCACACGGCCTGCTCTGGGGGTGTGTGTGCGCAGAAGCAGAGGGGGAGCCGTGGTGGGCTTGGACCCGAGCCCCACACGGCCAGTCCCTGAACAGCCAAGAGCTGAGCCCGCCCAGCCGGCCACAGCTGGCTGAGCCTGCCTTGCCCTGCTCCTGCCAAGTGTGTGGGGAGGGGAGGTCCAGGCCCCTCCCCCAGCCCGGTCCTGCCTGCCCACCCCTCCTGCCCGGGCAGGCTCCCTGGCTGCCTGGTTCCTGATGCCTGGCTCCCGCTGGCGGGGCGTGGAGAGTGGGGGGTTCAGCCGTGGGGTGGGGTGGGGCGGGTCGGGGCGGTTCTCACACCAGTGAGGCCCAGGCAGGACTGCAGCTGGCCTGGTCAGTCAGTGGCCTTCACATCTGGACAGATGGGCTGCATCCCCCGCAGGGTCCTGGGGGACCCGCCATCAGGCTGACAGCCAACGTCCCCTCAGGCCAGAGGTGGAGCTGGGCAGCAGCAGGCCAGGACCCCTTCCTGTGCGTGACTGGGGGAGGGGCCTGCCCCCCCTCTGTGCCCCCAGCCCCTCCCTCTCAGGCTCCTGCACCCTGGGGTGAGCCCCTGCTCCTCCTGTGTTGGGCTGGACACTCAGGAGGAAGAAGCCAGGTAGGACAGGAAGAGTCAGGTGGGGGGCAGGCATGACGCTACTGCCTCCTTCCCTGGTCCTGTCCAGGGCTGTGGTGCAGCCCCTCGCGGCTGTGTGCACGGTCACGGGCCCTGCCCCCGATCCTGCACACCTGGTTTTGCCCCCGGGGTCCCATAGACCTGTGTTCCTGATCTTGCACCTGGTCCTGCACATTTGCACATCTGGCCTTATATACCTGTGCCCTTGACCCTGCACACCTGCTCCCATATACCCTACACACCCCGTCCCCTACCCCTGCACACCTGCTCCCATATACCCTACACACCCCGTCCCCTACCACTGCACACCTGCTCCCATATACCCTACACACCCCGTCCCCTACCCCTGCACACCTGCTCCCATATACCCTACACACCCCGTCCCCTACACTGCACACCTGCTCCCATATACCCTACACACCCTGTCCCCTACCCCTGCACACCTGCTCCCATATACCCTACACACCCTGTCCCCTACCACTGCACAGCTGCTCCCATATACCCTACACACCCCGTCCCCTACACTGCACACCTGCTCCCATATACCCTACACACCCCGTCCCCTACCACTGCACACCTGCTCCCATATACCCTACACACCCCGTCCCCTACCCCTGCACACCTGCTCCCATATACCCTACACACCCCGTCCCCTACCCCTGCACACCTGCTCCCATATACCCCTGCCCTACACACCCCGTCCCCTACCCCTGCACACCTGCTCCCATATACCCTACACACCCCGTCCCCTACCCCTGCACACCTGCTCCCATATACCCTACACACCCCGTCCCCTACCCCTGCACACCTGCTCCCATATACCCTACACACCCGTCCCCTACACTCACACCTGCTCCCATATACCCCTGCCCTACACACCCCGTCCCCTACCCCTGCACACCTGCTCCCATATACCCCTGCCCTACACACCCTGTCCCCTACCACTGCACACCTGCTCCCATATACCCTACACACCCCGTCCCCTACCCCTGCACACCTGCTCCCATATACCCTACACACCCCGTCCCCTACCCCTGCACACCTGCTCCCATATACCCCTGCCCTACACACCCCGTCCCCTACCCCTGCACACCTGCTCCCATATACCCTACACACCCCGTCCCCTACACTGCACACCTGCTCCCATATACCCTACACACCCCGTCCCCTACCCCTGCACACCTGCTCCCATATACCCTACACACCCCGTCCCCTACCCCTGCACACCTGCTCCCATATACCCTACACACCCCGTCCCCTACCCCTGCACACCTGGTCCCACATACCCTACACACCCTGTCCCCTACCCCTGCACACCTGCTCCCATATACCCTACACACCCCGTCCCCTACCCCTGCACACCTGCTCCCATATACCCTACACACCCCGTCCCCTACCCCTGCACACCTGCTCCCATATACCCTACACACCCCGTCCCCTACCCCTGCACACCTGCTCCCATATACCCTACACACCCCGTCCCCTACCCCTGCACACCTGCTCCCATATACCCTACACACCCCGTCCCCTACCCCTGCACACCTGCTCCCATATACCCCTGCCCTACACACCCCGTCCCCTACCACTGCACAGCTGGTCCCGCACATTTGCATGCCTGTGTGTCTTGTACACCTGCATACTTTGTCCTGCACACTTGCACCTGGTCCTGAACCTCTGTGTACCTGCACACCTATGTGCCTGTGCACCTGATCTTGCACACCTGCACACCTGGTCTCACACACTTGCACAACTGTGCACCTGGCCCCGAGGCTCTGCAGCCTTTTTTTTTTTTTTTCACAGAATGGACAGTGAGAGAGAGAGAGACAGAGAAAGGTCTTCTTTGCCGTTGGTTCACCCTCCAGCGGCCGCCGCGGCCGGCGCGCTGCGACCGGCACACCACACTGATCTGATGGCAAGAGCCAGGTGCTTCTCCTGGTCTCCTATGGGGTGCAGGGCCCAAGCACTTGGGCCATCCTCCACTGCCCTCCCGGGCCACAGCAGAGAGCTGGACAGGAAGAGGGGCAACCAGGACAGAATCCGGCGCCCCAACCGGGACTAGAACCCGGTGTGCCGGCGCCGTAAGGCAGAGGATTAGCCTAGTGAGCCGCGGCGCTGGCCGCTCTGCAGTCTTTAGTCCAGCCAGGCTTGTAGCGCCCCCATGTCTGCTCTGTGCACCACAGGGGAGCATGCAGTGGGTGCAGTGCCAGGCATCGGGGCGCAGCGAGTGGCCGGGAGGGAGCTCCTGCTGTGGCTGCACCTGCTGTTCCGCACGTACGAGGGCGCTCGTGGCCTCTGCCGTGTCATGAGCTTGACCCTCAGGTCCTTGAGGGAAGGAGTGAGACCCCCCAGGGGAGCAGGGCTGCTTCCAGGGTCCTCGCCTCAGCCTGGTCCATGAGTGGTCCAGCTGGAGATGGTGGGGCCTGCCGCTTCCTCCAGGAAGCCCCCAGCGCTGTTCAGTAGGGCTCTGTGAGTGGGAGGGAGCTTGCGTCAAGGACAGTGGCAGTGCGGCTGTGTTCTCAGGACCTCCGCAGCTCTGTAGAGCCTTCCTGAGCCTGGGCAGCCCGACAGGTCCTGTGTGAACGGCCGAACCCCGGGACCCCTGCCACCGCGTGCTGCCCATGTGCCCGCTGTGCACTTGCTGGTGGGGTCTCGTCCCCCAGGCCATCGCAGCCCCGCACGCTGTGCTGCCGGGCTCACGGCGGGCTCCATTGCAGCCCCGCGCGCTGTGCTGCCGGGCTCACGGCTGGCTCCTTTCCTCCGAGCCCAGCAGAAAACGTCTCCGTCCTTAGATCGCTCCGGTTGACCTGAGGCTTCTGTGTCACTTGGGTTGGAGAGGAGACAAGACCCCTCCAAGGGAAACAGCAGCACTGGGCTCCGAGCAGCCCAAGCTTAGGCTCGTAGCGCGCAGGTGCACCAGCAGGTGCACCAGCGTGGGGCTGGGGCGAGGCCGCGGCAGGTGCAGCAGTCCCGCGTGACTCTGCGAGAGGCGGCCCCCGGCGCTCCGGGCGGGTGTCCCTGTGGGCCTTTGCAGTACATCCGTGTGAAAAGTTTGAGGTGTGTGGTGCTGACTTTGTGTGGTTTCTGTGTTGTGTGCTTGGCCATCTCTCTGGCGAGCTCTGAGCGCAGGCGCAGGGTCCTGGCCTTGTGTGGCGACTGCGCAGGCGCGGGATCTCGGCGTAGGTCGGCCGCTGTACTAGGTCTCCAGGACCTGCCGTCCTGCGCTGGTGGCCTTGCCCTTGCACCTGCACCTCCCCGACCCTCGCCCCTGCTCCCCACTGCTCCTGTGGCGTCAGTGAGATGGCGTGGGACCCAGC